GTGTGTGTGTGTGTGTGTGTGTGTGTATGTGTGAGAGTGTGAGTGAGCCAATACACCCCGAACATTCTCCTTCGCTTGCTCTCACTCTCATTCATTTACATTCGTAAGCCTGAGCTGGCTTGAGATACCCACATGCAAACACACTAGCATTAAGCCCGATATCTTTCAGCTCACATTTGATGCCTCAGAGCTTTGGGAATATTCAGTGTCCTGATGAGAGGCTCTGGCAGCGCTGCTAAATGTGTATTTATATGCAGCTAATGTTAACAGTAAATCAACATAGTCTACTTGAGATAATAATAGACATTACATGTAAAGATGAGACCTGAAACATAGTGATTCGTATTACTATGACATCCATTGTGATGACACATTAAAATACCAGTCAACAAACAAAAATGCCTTTAGGTTATCAGCCAAACCCTGCTCTCTTCTCCATAGAGTTGATTGAGGAGTTTGACTTTAATACTGGGAAACCATGTTCGCACCACAGCTCTTAAATCACCCTTAACTTTTCCAGTAAAAATAATAAACATCTTTCCCTAAACCAAGTCTTTTGGTAGCCTAACCTGAGACATGCTGTATCTTAAAACATAGTGTTGCTGCTAGGTTTTAGTTTTAGTATTAGTTCCCAAATGGCTTCTACAAATCCTAAGAGGGCTTTTCTTGCCACAAGGGGGTCTTGCTGTTGAATTCAATAGAAATATTTTGTTTAAAATGTTGATGAAAACTAAACTAATAATTTTAGTGGCATTACATTTCGAGCAACTTATTGTCTAGAGAACTGGTTTGCCTAATGGTACTTGTTGTGTGTCATCACACATATGCACTGCGGTAACACTTGGCGATGGGCGTGCCTGACGCTTGCTCGTACGAACAATCCCAGTTTCATGCTTGGCACATATAACATAGCTGGCCTAATGCTAACATGCATGCTAGCTATTAATTTAACGCTATAGAAAAGTACACAGGAAAATAAATCCACAACCAGATAAACACACACTAGGCAGCTGTCTCTGCCTCCTCTTTCGATTTGATTGGCCAGTGCCTGTGCTTGAGTATTTGCCTAAACCCAATTTAATTGGCTGGTGCCTCTGTTGCCGCATGGAAATTTGAGCTCTTCTCAACTGCTGCCGTACAGAGTGAAGCAACGTGAAACAATGGAACCACAAAGTGGATAAATGTCCTTTTTTTGGTTGATTAAGTTTTTGTTTGCTTTTTGTTGTTTGGGATTAATGTTGTGTCTCTTTGTTCATTTTTGTTATCTAATTTAAAATGTATAAAAAGTAACAAAAAGAAGTACAGTGGTGTAGGAAGTAAATAACTGTATGGATGTATAGAAGATGGAATCATTGCAGTAAATTAACAAAACAAGAAAAAGACAGAGGCGTGGCAATAGTAGTTGTATGTTTGTTTGTCCACCATTTTGAGTTATACAATAAATACTCACTTTTGCTGTAGGTTGATTATTGATTTAATTTAATGATTTAATGTTAAGATTCCCCTCAAAGGCCACCTTTGGGCAAAGTTGTTCACAAGCTATAGTACAGCTACGTCATGGTAAGGTTGACATTAAATGTGATGGGAATCTTTCTGGTCTCCAGGGGATGAATTGCACTGACTGTGGCGACCTACTGACCTTTTCTCTTTCGCCACCTTCACACCAAAGTTTCCATCTGTACATAAATTTCGAAGTTAGTGTGACAGATGCACTGAAATATTACCCATGGCACTGACATCCATATGGTACTGCCATTTTGGATTAGTAGTTACCCATAAAGAAGACTCTTGTTTGAGTGCACATTTTATTTCTGATTTAAGTTTGAATATCACCCTAAAAATCTCAGTCACCGATAAAGAAAACAATCTCAAACAAATCATGAACACACACATGCTGCTCTCTGCTCCCTGCCCTCCTTTTCCTCCTCCTCCCGTCCTCCCCCTCCAGGAGGATAGCGTGACAGTTCTGTCACGTCGGCACCTGGTCGTACACAAGTGTTAATGTCCCCACCTCAGCCGGGAATCACTGGAACACTGACACCATGCTGGAGTGTGTCGCGTGAATATATGAGCATGTCTGTTCTGCAGTTTTAAACTTGTATCTTTCCTGAGTTAGAATGTCCACCAAGTTTTTAAAGGATGTAACAGAAAGAAGGACTCTGAGCCATTTGTGCTTTTGTGATAAAATTTTCATGTGTCTGTCTCCATTGCACTGTGTATGTGTATGTGCCTGAGTGTGTGGCACGGATGCACCAGGCAGGGGTCCCATCTCCTGTCACTCAGAAACAACAAGCCAATCATTCCTGGGTTCTAAAATAAGCTCTCCTCCCCCGTTTCCGTCCTCTCTCCCCTCCTCGCCCTCCTCACATGTGTTCCTCTCCTTAGTAGACACCTGAGGTGTAGGGCGCAGAGGAGCCGAAGAGGAAGAATGGCAGCTCCACCATGTTGGACTGTATATCAAGATTCATGTGATGAGAATTTTAATTGCGGACTGCAAAATTACTCAGTTTCATATTTCATGGTGCCAACATATATTTGACAGAATGTAGCCTATTTTTGTAATGGCAGTGCTAAACTAACTGATGAAACTATTGCTGTGTTTGTCGGCTCCAGGACTGTTAATGTGTTTTGTTTTAAGTTTATCTGAAACAAATTACTGAGACTTATAGGGTGGCTACATAGGGTGTAAAATGGCCTCTGTTCGTTCGGACAAAAGTGATTTCCCCTTTTACTTCCCAAACTGCATTTTGTAGCCTCTTAGACATATAGCTGCCATGACAGTGGTGATTTGGAAATGTGTGCAGTCTTCTGTTTTATTTCATGCTTATTTTTGTAGATTTACTACAAAGCTCCTTTAATATAAAATTTGACAATAGCCAGTGTGTTGTGCTTGTCTCCTCATTTTCAAATCTTATTTTGAGAACCAATGTACAGAAGAAATGTTTTTTGTCTTGATTTTTCCTAGACTTTGGTGAGTGTGCTTGTTCAGGTGTTAAAATAGGTTAGAATTCCAAAACTTGAGTGGCAGCTCTCTGAAAGGTCTTGGCTTGTGCTTTCAGCAGAGTAGTATGAATTGGGTTGGGGGGGTGTCCATTCTCAGGGATCGACATGAACTTTGAGACTGTGAGGTCAAACACTCGCTGACAACTCAACCACCTGTTGCCACACACACACACACACACACCGCACAAGCGCATGCTGGTCTTTATATGGTTGTTAAGACACTCATTGATATAATTACCTAACCTTAAACATCACATTTAAATATCCTAACCCTGAAAATGCCTAACCATAACATAAATCTAATTCTGACCTTAAAACCAAGTCTTAACCACCAAACAATTGTGTAGACTAGCCAAAGCAAAATGTGTCATGTAAATCACACACACATTTACTGCCCACCTCGTGTCATGTGAACAATCAGTTCAGTGGATGTGTAGTTATTTGTGTGTGTGTGTGTGTGTGTGTGTGTGTGTGTGTGTGTGTGTGTGTGTGTGTGTGTGTTTGTTTGCATGAGCCTGTAAAACTGTTTTTGTTTCCTGTAGATTTTTTCATTTGTCTGGAATCTATAGCCTCACACACACACACACACTATAACAAAAAGCAACCCAGCAAATACATGAGCATATGTTGTTTTCATATGGAAATATTGTGATTACTTTAGTGAAACAATATGTGCAGAGAATTTGCATACACTCATAATTGCATCACTACACCATCTGAAATCAGTTAAATTAGAAAATATTGATCAGGCTACATATAAACATTGTCTTATGAATAGATATACTTTATTTGGCTCAAAAAGGTCAAAGATCACGTTAATGTCCTTGGCCAAACAGCGTGCTGATATAGCCCATATTTGCAAAGAAAAAGAAAAAGCTTTTCAGTCAAGTTCAGGGCTGGCTGTACCTGACACAGTCTAAAGAGCAGAAGCAGGTGCGTTGGGGTTTTTAAGTGCGAAGGGTCACACAGCCCTTTATATACACATCTTTTCTCTCCATCCCGCTATATACAGAGCCATCATGTGCAGTTACATCTGTGTCACATAAGGAAAGACGTTCTTCAGCCTGACTTCCAAACAGCTGCATCATCTGTCAAACCAGACATAGAATTTATAGATCAGTCCGTCATCGGTCGCTCTGCCACAGCTTTAACCTTGTCAGTCCATAACTGTCACAGACATTTCTCCCTTGGTTTCTTATGGCAGTGATGTCACCAGGCTCCTGGTGATGTTTGTAGAGGTCTTTTGTTTGTTTCATTCTGAGTGGTGAAAAGACCCTGTCTGTAGTGCATATTACTAAGTGGGTTTGTTTTTTAATTCAAAGAATTGATCAAGAACACTGGCAGGCATTTGATGAGACATATAATTTAATTGACTAAAGGAAATTAGTCAAAATATCCCTTTAAAAAGAAAGTTAAAAAATAGTGTTCAATTACTCCTTTAAAAGTAGGGGAGATCATAGAGGTCATGTAGAATGCTGTGTGAGTATAATACTGCTTCAGGGCCTCCTGCCAGGGGTTGAAGTGCTTGCTTTGAGTGTCTGGGCCAGCTCTCTGTCTGCCCTATCCATATTCAGTTCCAGTTCAGTCGCTGAGTTGCATTGCTTGGACTCCTTAATCAAAGCTGCAGGATATTTCTTCGTTTAGTGAACACTGCAGCTGCACGTGCATGTCATAGAAGACATGCTTCAAAGATACAAAATATTTCCTTCAGTTAAAGGAGCTTTGACAAGCTTGCATACTCACAGAAAAGATAGCTTGATCGGTCAAACTTCTCTTTGTCCACTTCAGCTCAATGCCAGTCCAGCACATGGATGTCTAATTTGTAGAACTGTCTCAACCAAAAGCAACTTACACCCATTCCAGGGTGTCATTTTGTGACAACCTAGATGCCCAGTATCATATTCAGCCCATGTGGGCAGTGACCTGTGAGGCCCCACCTCCAGGTTGGGTACCTGCTAGTCCTAAAGTCCGAGAGTCAAACAAAAAGCCCTGCTGTCCTCCACTGAGCACACCCAGACTGTCCGTTAGAGTCCCACTAGGAGACGAGCCAAGGAAGGGACTCTGATGATTGGCAGTGGCAGCAGCGGCCATTTTATCAGGGCTGGCAGCGAGGCGTGGTGAGGGAGGGAATGTGTAACCGTACAGGCTGTAGGGCGGTGTGTGCAGGCGAAGACCAGCGTAACCCTGCGGGTTGTGGTTGGATAGATAGCCAAGTTGAGAAGCAGGAAGAGGCAGGGAACAGAATCCTTCACCGTCATATGCCGATGGACCTCTGGGAGGGGGGTATGGCTCAGGGGGGTTGCTGAAACGATGGAGGGGGTGTGTAGGTCGACTGCAGGTGTAGTCAGGTGGGCTGAGAGGGCAAACTTGGAAAGGAGAGGAGCATGGGGACAAGTGAGATGATGCTCCAACCCCTCCATGAGCTCCTGGGATTCCTACAGAAACAGAGCCAGAGAAGAATGAAATCGACACATCGTCCACATCAACCAAAACTTACATGCTTAAAACAACTACAGATACACTGAGATCCAACAAGCCTGATCCAACAAGCCGGATTGATATAGATCCTGATACTGAGCTTATTGAGAGCTCAGGTATCGGCCATGATATGAATGAGCCACTCTAATTTCTGTCTTTTCTTCAACATTATAAAATTCACAGTTTCTTGAGGTATTTACATTTCAAACTTGGGAAAAGAGATGAGTGGCATTGAATCAACTGTTAGACTTAAATTATGACCTTATATGAGGTATTAGTCTATCTACCAAGTGGCTGAAACATTTTCTTTTGGTGAGGCCTAAGATGGCAGATGGCAGTGATGATTATGCAATTTGTAGCTGGTTTAAGCCTAAACAACCTTTTTTGTGACATATCAATGTTTATCAGACAAGGAGCTGTTGTGGCTGGGCAAATGATTGTTGGCACTTAGAGACAAAAGTGTTACTGCAAAGCATTATGACAGCTTAGCAAAACCTCTTGTTTTAAGGTGGTGGACACATGCAGACAGTGACTTAGACAAGAAATACCACTTTTTGCACAACTATAACCAACAGTCATCTTTGTTTTTTTGTGACCATGAACTTTCCTTAACATTTACCATTAGCTTTTTGTATGTAAACCCAACCATACCTTAACCATAGGACCATCATATATGATGTATGAATTGACTTATCCTCAGTATCCAAAACACTACTGTTAGTTAACTCTACCTTGCTTGGCCATGCCAGGGATGTCTTCAAATGTGAGCGTTCGCAGAGAAGGACGCCAGAATGCATAAGACTCAACCAAAGCCTCCAGACCCATCCTGCAGAACACACACAAATGCAATCGTTAACACGCATACATCAAAATTAGACAAATCATCACAAAATAATTTGGATCAGAAATTCCAGTCCTGCACTTTCTGTAGTCATTGATGCAGCTGCAGCTGCTCGTTCCCAGCATGCTATCCGGGTCATACATTACGCCAACCACCTGGCGGCCATTTTAGTCTGTGGGGCCTCACTCTCCATCTCCATGGAGACTGCAGGTAATGAGGGGCATAAACGCTGTGTTGCGATTGGCTGCCGCCAGTCGGGTGCTCTAAGGTAATTGCTTTCACACGACTTTTACGGGCGAATCAGGACGAAGGAGCAGGAAGCCGCAGCAAGGATTTATGAGGTGGGACTCCCCTTCCCCCCAAATCTGCGTCGCCCTCGTTCTCTAGGTGGGGCAGAAGGTTGCTGTGGCGGAGTAATGCAAGTGCTCTGTTACCCCTCGTTAGCGTGAGGATAAAAGTCCTCCCCCCCGCGGGGTTGTAGCCACGGTGATAATTTAGACAAGCTGCCCGGAGCGACTCTGGTGTGCACCAGAGCAAAAGTTTGTTTAGCAAACTGTTTAACTCTTCCTGTAATATTTAAGGGGAAGATTTCTTTCGGCCTTCCTGAGGTTTACTTTTTATAGGGTCACCTTTCACAGTCCTTCGGTTATCCTGTTTGCCATTCTTTACCTTCCTAACGCTCCTATTTTCTGTCTCATACGTTCCCTCTCCTCCCCTCTCTTCTGCCCTCCCCCATTGCTCTCCCCTCCTCTAATGATTTCTATGAGGCCTCAGGGGAGTGGCTGTTTGGAGACTGTTGGAGTTTTACTGCCGTGTTGTTTTAATGCTGTGTTTATATATGTTTAGAAATGTGTTTATACAGATTTTCTTCAGGACACTCTTGACTTTTATTATTTTGCTGTTGATGTTTATGTTACGAGGCTGGCTGGAATCTGACGCTCCATTTAGGTTTGCAGTTGAGGTTAGATTTTTCCCCGTCAGAGCATGTGCCTGTAACTATGCGATTGTAGGAATTAACGTGGCTTTAAAGTTAGCACATTTAAAAGAAAATGCATCACCAATTAATAAGATGAAACCATAATAATATGTGCCACATATTTTTGATTAAGTATTTTTCTTTTCTGCCAGTTAGCACAAATTTAATGGGAGGCAGTAGTACATTTTCCATTCAAAAAAACAAAACAGCTTTGCTCCCCATTAAAACAGACTGAAATATCTGTGATAAAAACCACAACCAAGCCAGAATATAATGCAGCCATGCATTCCACATTATCCCTAATACAGTAGATAATGTGAAAATCTCTGTGGTTGAAATTAACTCACCGATTTCTGCCAGAGTCTCTGAAGCCTTTGGCAAATGGGTTTCTGTCAATTTTCAGCCTTGTAATCTGAAAGGCAAAATAAAAGTCTTAATTATTTCCAAATATTTAGTTCGCACAAAGTCCATTGTAACAGTATAGTGGAAATAATTGTCTTTCATCAAGTCTATTAATAAATGCATTCATGGGCATAGTTAGTTCTTTAGTGTGCCACTTGTTTGCATGTGTTGAATATGCATGTCAGTTAATGTCTGTGGGACTGCTCAGGCTGTGGGTGGTGTTTAAGGCCCAGCTCTGTGACCCACATCCAAAGGGACTTTTATAGGCATCGCCACCGTGTTCTGACTCCAGCCGTCATGCACTGTAGCGTCAGACAATCCCAACAAAATACTTCAAAGCTCACTTTGACTGGTCCAGTGCAAGAATAAAAAAACTTAATTATCCCTGAGATGAACACAATGATTTTCTATCTTTTGGGGGGGATACTAAACATAGATAACATTGATAAGTAGAACTCCCTGTAGAAAAAATTAAGGAACTGGAGGACTGTGTTTTGTAAGACACAAACACACACACACACACACACACACACACACACACGCACACAAAGTCATGCATTTGTACTGTTCTTAAAATGCACACCAGACCAAGGTGAAAATCATAATTTTAATATCACACAGAAATTGAAACTGTTTCTTATTTGGGTTTCTTAAATTGTGTAGTCTTGTTTTGTCTGTTAAAGCATAACTAAAGAGAACAGTGTAATAGAAGTGTAGTTCATGAGACGTTGCTGTAGGAAACAACCACAAAAACAAAGATGATTGAAGTTTTGTTTTTAAGGGGAAATGTAGTCATGTTGACGTGAGTTGTGCTACCTGTTGATTCTGATACGCCGTGACTGTGGTGAACACAGTCTCAGGGAAGGAAAAGGTGCGAGTGCCTTCCCCAGCAGGAACGGCTCTCACTGGGGATAGCTCCTCTCCACACTCTTTTCGGATCACATGGACCCGCGGCTGGTACTTGTGCATGGAGTGCAGAATGATCTGAGCAAGAAGAGAAAATTACTTTAACACCAATTTAAGATTGTGTCACAACTATAAAACATGATTATAGGATGATGAACATGCACATAAGTGGGAAAAAGATGCACAGATGCATGCACACACAAAGAAACACACACATACTTTTCACTTAAAACTATTGTACTTGTAATCATTAGGAAAATGCCACAAAAAATACAGTTGTAGTCTTTTATTGTCTTGTAAATTTTGACTTTTTGATGGTAGTAATAATATGTTTACAATGAGTAAACCCATTAGAAAAATCAAATCCAATAATGAAATTAAGTATTACAATATGAATATCATAAACATAGACTATAATAATAAAGGAATATGTTTGCAGGCACTTACATGTCCCTGGTCATCAAGCTCGTTGTTGGTCAGTTTGAGTTTGTCGAAGCTGACCACCTGACGCATCCACGTCTCTCCTGAGGCTGGAGAGTCCGGGTGAATGTACACTCTGGGCGGCACAGGGGAGTCTGCATTCCCCGCTACCATCCACTTGGAGCTGTGGTACACATACCTTAAAAATGCACAGACAAAAACACACAGGGATTTTAAATGTTTGCGATTTTATAGTTGCTCGTTTGACGTTGATGCATGACATGGCAAGAAAAATGACTGGTGAAAAATGGTCATTAATAATATTTATAGGTGATCCATATGAGGTTTTGTAAAGATTGAGATCATGGATTATTTAATTCTTGTTTGTAATCTGATTGGCCTATACTCTAATTTGGCTGCAGACAACCTATGTGCATCATTCAACCTTCAAGAAAAATTATTAATTTGTAACTATTTGCAGTTTTCAACAAAAAGTACAAAGTGCTGCGCAACCAGAAAACAAATGGTTAAAATACAGAAGGAGGTACATAAATAATTATGGTAATAATTATACAGATAAATCCCTTGAATATAGTTAATAAATCAAATTAAATCAAATTTTATTTGCAAAGCCCACATTCACAAATCACAATTTATCTAATCAAAGTGCAACATCCCATGTTCTTAACCCTCAACAGGAGTAAGGAAAAACTACCATAAAAAAGCCCTATTAATAAGGGAATAATAAACACTGTCGATTAAATATCCTTTATCTTTTGCAACCCTTATTGCAACATTTATTTTAAGATGTTAAGAAATGGTCCTGCCAAGTTCAAAATCATGCATATCTCAAGTATAGTCCAAGATTTTTTTACTACGGATATATTTAATGAGTTAAAAACAATGTAACATGAGCATCGCAGGTTTTAAGTTATATCTTTAATGACCTTCAGCTCTTCAGCTACAAACACCATGTAATGAGTTCCTCATCCTGCTGAGGTGTGTTCATCACCTGCTGTTAAGTGTCAGGATCAATGATTCAGACTCTGCCTCCTCTGAACAGTGTGCGCACAAACCTTTGTTGATCTACATGCTCAGATGTCATATCAGAGTGACTGCATGTTCCTATGAAAGGCTATTACTTGCCCATACTACTAAAAACGCCTTTACAAATGATAGAGCCACTGTGTATGGCATGCAAAGTCTTGGCTGCATTTGTGCCATCGCAGTAGCGCGCTGTTTACTTGTGCATTATAACATTTGTTGGTTTGACCTTTGAGGGTGGAGATGCGAGGTCTCCAAAAGGCCTTTTCCAAAAGGGACGACAAAACCACCGTGACAAAGCACCGGTGCCAGGCGCCATTTGTGGAGTGAGAGGGAGCGCTGGGGTTGCACATTAGAAAGAAAAAAGGCTTGTCCCATGCAGGAGCAGTGTGCACGGAGCCTAAATTAAGACGAACATTAATGCAACATCCCCGTTGCTGCAGGACGTGCATGTGAAGTAATCTGCCACCAATATAAGCTGCATGATATTTACATGCAGCGGCGACCATTTAAATGTCAATTTAAAAGCCCTAAAAGTGACAGAGTGCATGTTTCTGTCATCTCTGTTTGCATTGGCTTGCACTGCGCAGTGTGCGTGCACGTGTGTGTGTGTGCGCGTGCTCTCTTACCTATATCGTTTGTTGTCCACGGGGATTATATCCATGGCTATGTAATACTGCTGGTGTGGGTCCAAGCCCGTGATCTTCACACGCATTGCGGGGAACATCCGCCTGACAGGGACACCAAATAAATCATCTATACACAGGAGGTTTTAACTCATCTACAGTCATTTTACCCACAGAGTGTAACAATAATAATAATAATAATAATGAAAATATTAATAGATTAAGACAACAGTAGAAATTGTGATTATTTTAAATGATTATTTTAATATTCATTTTGCCAAGCCAGGTGATTTTTCTTATATTATTGTGTAGTCTAATTTATTATTTTCATATAATTATATTTATTATATCTATTTTTTTTATTGTAGACATATTTAGATTTTCCTCAGTATAATAACATTATTCTTTCTAAAGCAAAGTTCATGTTTGAGCTTATTTCGCGCATTCATCGACTCATTTCAATATGATCTCCTTCTCACCGTCCAGCCTTGGTGATGATCATCTCCGTGCCAATCTCGTGGAACCGTTTCCACAGGTCCGATCCCTGCAGGTCTACACGGGACTCGTCTCCGGTGCCGGTGACCGGCGCCGTGGACAGGGGCGCGGGCTGCGGACTCTCCACCAGCGCATCCTCGCTCTCCGCTGCACCGGAAAGAGGCGAGAGTTTATGACACGTTTCAATAAAAACACAAAAATAATCAACCAAAGCTAAGAATTATTCTCCAACAAGGTGAACGTGCTTTTGTTGTGTGACTCGTAGAAAAGACACAAGTTTGAATACAGAGCATTTTAAGCACACAAACATTACAGCAGGGCTATGATATGTTTATATGTGTATATATTTATATATACATATACAGGACAGAGTAAGTTTTAAAGTCCATCAATTCACATTTAGGCCTATAGTCTATATATGAATAATAGTTATTGCAACAGTAATTTTGTAATGACTATTTTCAGCAGCTATACGAAAAATACACTAATTTTACTCCAAAAATATTTTACAGTTATTATTTCAAGCAGGTAAAATGTTTTAAGTAGTCCTATAATTGTGTTCATGTTGAATACTGGTGCACTATAAGCTGAAAGAAAATATATGTCTCTTAAAACTAAGGTACTCTGCACTTATTACTGAATATATACACCATCATATATTAGAATATGCCTGCATCCGTCACAGAACAGCAGTGGTTTTCATAATGATTTTCACTATGAAGTCCTTGGGTTTAAATCAGTTTTAATATATAGGGAATACGTTTAGAGACTCTACTGGTGTTTATGTGTCTCACTGCTTTTGTTATTTGGGCTGCTCAACACATGGCCTCACCGTGTAATGGAAATTTATGCACATTAGACTTGGGCCTAACGAGCCAAACTGTAACACAAAGGCAAATCCCCCAGCCAAGGGCATTTTAAAATGTGAAGCGGATTTTAAAATCCTAATTTGTCAGGGCCAGTCGGTTTATCCTCTGCTGCAGACCTCTCGGGATCCTCATACCGGGCCAGTCTCTCTGCCTTTATACGCTGCTAATTGGTGTGTTTATGATTGCAACACAACTCATAAAGCGTCTCACATTAGTCACACTCATATTTACAAGACCAGGCCCGTGATATGATATCACATTTCCACTGTGCGGCTCTGACCATGTCGCCTGTCATTGTTTCACTTCATAAGCTGCATCTTTCCAGCCACGATTGTTACAGAGGTTTCCCTTGACTGTAAACAGAGGAAAGTCTGCAGGCCTGATACAAAGAACTGGGCTTCTCATTGTGAAAGAAAAATCTGCAAGTGGCTATAAATGCAAGTTTATTTTTTCCCTAAGAAGAAAAAATAATAATAATATGACAACAAATGTGCATGGCCTAATTTGAAAGATACGATATTAAAAAAAACTGTACAGCTCATATTGGGAAAGTACAAAATGTATTCTAACAGATAGACCTTTTTAATGTTGCCTAATTTAAAGACTCATTTTGACCAGGTGACGAAGTCATTATAATAACTATATTTGCTCTGATTGTTTTTATTGTTGTTGTTTACTTACGGGATCCGTCGCTCGCACACTCAGCCTCCCTGCCCTGGTCCTTGGTACACGCTCTGTCAGCCCTCGGCACCGGGCTCCCGGTCAGATCAGAGACGTCGGTCCCGTCCTCGTAGGCGGGGGACACGGCATCTTCTCCGTCCGTCCTGCGCCGCTTCTCCGCTCCGATCAGCGCCTCCACGGAGAAGGCGTGCGCCTTGACGCTCAGTGCGCACGGGGACCGCCGCTTCTCTGCCATGTCTCTCGCGGTGTAGTGACAGAGCGAGACGGCGTCACGAGTTTTCGGGGAGTCAGAAAAGTTCAAAACGGAAAAATAAGAGAATCCACGGGGGACAGTCTTGAGCTCTGTGCAGGTCTCCGTCCTCCGGCCGGGACAGCAGTGGGAGCGCAGGGAGCCGGGAGGAGATGTATGGCTGTCTCCGTTATCCGTGAGAGCCGTGCGCACTTTTGGAGAGTGTCAACTACTTGGAGCTTAGAGGAGCGCCGGGGAAGGCGACCTGTCAATCACAGAACGGGACAACCAATCACAGGTGGTCACAGCCCCCCGGAACTAGCCTCTGGTCCCGCCTGCTGTGGGGCCCGCTCGTGCCGCCTTATGTGGTCAAAGTGGAGCTCGAGAATGAATCATGTCTTCAGGCGCAGGAGCGCGAGGAGCATCCCTCTGTGGCATTGTGCGCATTTTCACACAGCGACCCTACATGCCTTACATGAGTCCCTCCTGCAGCCATCCTCCTGCAACATGTTCGTGTTGCACAGATGGAGAACGACTGACCTCAAAATGTGTTAGTCAGTGCGATCACCATTATACAACTGTGCGTTACCAAACTGAATATGTTATAGGCCGCTGGTTCTCTATGTTGTCGTCGACCTGGAAGGAAATGTTCATTTTGTGTCATTTTTACTTTCTGTGTATTTGACTAATTTGAACTAAATGTTATCCAAACGTTTTCACACAACATCTGCCATTCCCTCGTCAGAATCCCAATCGATTCAAACAGCAGACCCATTTGCCCACAGCATGATCTCTGCTTCATGATAAAGCAACAAGGAATACATCATTAACAAATGATTACTATAAACATTTATTCAAAAATATACAAGTATACATTATGACATTACTGATGCTACAACTTCATTGACTAGACATTTCAGCTTTTTCATGGCAATAACACAAATGTTTCATAGACAATAAGATGAAGTAGGCCATGCAATTTTATCGCTTAAGGAATATAAATATAAATTAGATTAGAATACATTTGTAATCGGCGTATATTGTCTTTTTTATTTTGGTGTGTAAATCTAAGTAATAAAGTCTGTAAGTAGGCCACATCTACCCTAATCCACTTGAGTTAATTAACAATCTAAACAGATATGATAAATGTGAACTGAGGGATGAGCTGGATTTTCTCTCTGTGCACGTTTGGAAATGATCCTGTGCTTGGGGAATGCGTGTAGGTGCGGGTGCCTGCGTGTGGAAGCCATAAGACATGGAGGAGGAGAAGCTATAAATGAACAAGACAGAGTGCGGTCGTGCGTATGAGTTTAATATGCAACATTTGCATCATTAATAAGAAGTGAATTAATTAACCTGCTGAAACCTCAATTCTAACAGTCAGAATTTTATGATGTTTTTAAATGGTCCTTGTTGCCTTGGTGACCACCTCCTCTGTGTAAAGCTGAAGGCCTCTCGTGGTTTGTTGGTTAAATAACCAACACGTCGCCATCGTTTATTGATGTAAACTCAGTATGTGATGCTCTGTGCCCATATCCGCGTGGGTTATCAGATCAAAAGACATGTGTTTCCCGTGGGTTTTTCAAAATGAAATATATATTTAAAGTCTTTTTAAAAAATGACATTTCAACAATTTCTGTTTTACACATGAAGG